TTATTATTATTATTATTATTATTATTATTATTTCTGCAGTTTAGCTCCATCTGTTGTCAGCATCCAGAGCGTCTACGCATGTTACGCATGTGCTTCTCGTCCGCGCTTGTTTACATCAGAGTGCGCACGCGTCTTTCACGCAGCATACAGCGGTGTTGTGCATTTTGACCAGTTGATGGGAAAAGTATTCTTAAAATGCATTCAAAATTCGGAATAATTTGTAATATATAATTATTCACGGTATTTAGAAGTGTCCACGATAACAATATTGTGCATATTCATTACCGTGATATATCGCATTACCGAATACCGGCACAAGTCTAATACACACACACACACACACATATATATATGAGTGTTTTTTAAAGATTAAGTTTAATTGAGCATTAGATTAAGATTAGACAACAATAGTAAGTGTCAATGTAAAAAAAGGAAACGAGCATGCACATGGAAATATCCAGTATAGGCCAATGCAGATAAAAACTATAATAAAGGCTTATAAGCTACACTGTGTGTGTGTGTATATACTGTTGTCATCTAATGCTCAATTAAACTTAATCTTTAAAAACACTAATAATTTAATAACATTGTTAAATGTAATCTTTAGCTAATCTCATACTATGCATTTTCCGTGCATGTTGTGATGCCTAAATGGTCTTTTAAAATGATTGATTTTAGTTTTTAGAGTTTTATTTATTTATTTTATTTACTTTTTTTTGTTAAAATTGTTTAGAATAAAAAAAAAAGAATAGTCCATTACATAAAAGCAATTATCAGCTGCTGTAAATAATGGCTAGAAAGCAGCATGGCCATCTTTGAGTGCCGCTAAGCAGTTACACTAACAAGACTTTTGTGAAGATTGCGTCGCTTGTAAGCAACAGAGCATTTACTACAACAACATCCAAATCTGTAATTTCATCTTTTTTAAAAGATGCTGACTAATCATCAGGTGTGAACCTAATGGATTCATGGATACATGCATTCCTTTAGTAGACTGCACAATCAAACAACAATGCACTCACTAAACAACAACAGCAATTTGATCTTACCTTAATCCTATCTTTTTGTGTTTTGTCACTGTTTCTTGCTGTGACCTAAGGGCAGACAACCCCTCCCGCTCCTTTCCTTCCATTTGTCATCTAATGCTCAATTAAACTTAATCTTTAAAAACACTAATAATTTAATAACATTGTTAAATGCAATCTTTAGCTAATCTCATACTATGCATTTTCCGTGCATGTTGTGATGCCTAAATGGTCTTTTAAAATGATTGATTTTAGTTTTTAGAGTTTTATTTATTTATTTTATTTACTTTTTTTTGTTAAAATTGTTTAGAATTAAAAAAAAAGAATAGTCCATTACATAAAAGCAATTATCAGCTGCTGTAAATAATGGCTAGAAAGCAGCATGGCCATCTTTGAGTGCCGCTAAGCAGTTACACTAACAAGACTTTTGTGAAGATTGCGTCGCTTGTAAGCAACAGAGCATTTACTACAACAACATCCAAATCTGTAATTTCATCTTTTTTAAAAGATGCTGACTAATCATCAGGTGTGAACCTAATGGATTCATGGATACATGCATTCCTTTAGTAGACTGCACAATCAAACAACAATGCACTCACTAAACAACAACAGCAATTTGATCTTACCTTAATCCTATCTTTTTGTGTTTTGTCACTGTTTCTTGCTGTGACCTAAGGGCAGACAACCCCTCCCGCTCCTTTCCTTCCATTGTGCTGCTTCACTTCTGTAGTATGATGTCATCCAGCCTGTCCCACCTCAACACCATCTGAATTCAAGAAAAACTGTACTAGAAAATAATAAATTAACTTTGCCTCTTCCTTCCATCTCTGCAGGTGGCTGGGAAGCATAAATACCATCCCGAGTGTTTTTTCTGTGAAAGCTGTGGCATGGTTATTGGAGATGGTGATTCTTTCGTTCTAGTGGATTTTACCAATTTATACTGGTCAGTTTTGTCAAAACATTTGACTACTTGCTAATCTTGTGAGTATTTTGATGGAAAAGTACCTCAGTTTTGTCAGGTTTAATGAGTTTTCTTCTTCTCTCATAGTGGACAATGTGGACACGAGGTGGTGTCGATGCAGCACTCGGCAGCAAAATGTTCACGGCTTCCTCATACAGTGACATCGATGTCATTTCCTCCTTCTGCAGAAAGCAGGCGAGGTTTATCCTTCACAGTGGAGCAGAAGGATGCAGGCCCTTTGATCATCATATCTCAGTAAGTTGTCAATATAGACACAGTTACACCTGAGCAAAAATATAGGGCAACCAAACATGATTTTATTAAATAAATTATTAAATTAATGATTGCATTCAATAAATATTGACTTTTTTTTCTCCTAAAAAATTCACAGACTGGATATGCACAACCTGAGCCCTGAAGTTAAGCCTTTGATCCATGCTGGAGATAGGATTCTTGAGATCAATGGAATTTCTGTCCAGAACATTCCACTCAATGAGGTCAGTCCTGTACCTCAGATAAAATCAAATAATCTGGACGAAACATCTCATTTCACCATTACCCTTTATATTTCGGCCGTTTTAACAGATAGAGCTGGTGATTCACGATACAGAGCACTGGTTACAAATCACAACTGAACATGATCCTGAAGAACTCACAAAACAAGAAGACTTGTCTGGCCTACTGGGAGAAGAACTGGACCACCCTGGAAAACTAGGTTTCATTCCCCTTCCCAGCAACAGACGAATAAGCCCTCGATCCAGAAATATTCTGTAAGAATTATGGCACTATCAGATTTTATTACATGTAATACTACACTTCAAAGATAATTATTTTTTTCTTGTTTTTTAGGTAAAAATATCTAAGCAACATTCATTTTTTGAAAAGCAAAAAAGGCTGATTTTCAGAGAATGCACATTGAATAAATTATTATTTTTTTCTTCCCGGTGGTAATTATTTATTATTTATATATATACATATATATACAGTATATATATATATTATACTTAAAACAAGAAAAAAAAGACATTTTGCCAATAGACCATGAAAAATATATTAATTCAAGATATATTCTTTGGAAACAAGTCTCAAATGATTTTCATGTAAACTGATTTTAGAGTTTTTTACTGGATAACAGGACTAAAATTAAGAAAATGTGTAAATGTTATTTGATAAAAAGTCAGTAGGTCTTTATTAAGAACCTGCTATACAGGTTTGTTGTAGGTGTCAAACGTTATACATAAAATTTTTTCCTGTAAAGATAAAACCCTGGTTTAGTTAGTAATTTTTTGGATAATATAAAAAGCACCAAATAATAAAAAAAGGTAATGTTTCTAGTGTGCTCTTACTAACGTTATTCGTTTTTCTTTGTCTGCCTCTGCAGGCGCAGCTGCAGTACTGATAAAGCTTCATGCTCGCAACGACACGCTGCACTTCTTTCCCATAGAAGAGACATTAATCGATCAGAGTCTCTGCGTTTTGACCCTAGTGACAAAACACAACGTATCTTCCGTCCCTTAGACCTAATATATGGGGAAGTTTTGGGAAAAGGTTGTTTTGGACAAGCCATAAAGGTAAAGTAATGAGTCTGAATGATCACAGTGAGTCTCACTTGAGATCACAGACTGACAGTACGGAATTAACGGCCTGCTTTGGGTTGTTAGGTGACACATTCGGAAACAGGTGAGGTCATGGTGATTAAGGAACTTCTTCAATTCGATGAAGAGACTCAGAAGACATTCCTGAAAGAGGTTTGTTGTAGTTTTTTGCTTTCTCAGACCACTAAGGAGCAAATGGATTGTTTACTAATCTAAACTTTTTTGGCTCCAGGTCAAAGTAATGAGATGCCTAGAGCATCCTAATGTCTTAAAGTTTATCGGCATTCTCTACAAAGACAAACGGCTGAACCTGATCTCGGAGTATGTGCAAGGAGGAACGCTGACGGACACCATCCAGAAAATGGTTTGTTTTTATTCTTTACTGGATTTCATTGCATGAAGTCCATATTCTTGACAAAAAACATGCTGTTTTGGTTCTGAGTGAGTAAACTCATTTTGCGTCATAATTTAGGACAGGGATCACCCTTGGAAACTTAGAGTGAGCTATGCCAAAAACATTGCAGCTGGAATGGTACGTAATGAAGTGCAATGGGTTTTTGCAGAATAGTAGAGTTGACATGTAGTTTTAAGTCTACAAGCAGTTTGTTTACATCAGATCTCCACTATCTATCCTAATTCCTTAATGCAAAGACATGTCTTGACAGGGAACATGAATCTGAAGCAAAATTTAGTTAGCTTCTAAATATGAAAAATCTTTTGCCATATACACATGCATGTGTAGACTGTATTATAATGGCAAATCATCTTTTTTTTCCAAAAAATGTTCTCTTTCCAACCCAGGCTTACCTACATTCAATGAATGTCATTCATCGGGATCTAAACTCACACAACTGCTTTGTCCGAGAGGTCAGAATACATCTCAATACTCATAAATGTAGATCATGTCTCCAACTGAACTAAATTGTGTGACAATACTGGTTTTCCTCACAGAACCAAACAGTGGTAGTTGCTGACTTTGGTTTGGCCCAGCTTGTAAAGGAAGAAAAGAGCTCTTCTCCTGGACAAATGTCCAAATTGAACAAGCTTGGTCGTAAAAAACGGTATATGGTGGTGGGCAACCCCTACTGGATGGCACCAGAAATGATCCACGGTAAACCATATGAATTAACAATCAAAGACTGATGACGAGGAATGACCATTTTGCAGTTTTGTGATTTTTTTGTTTGTTTGTTTTCTGCAGGAAAAGTCTACGATGAACAGGTTGACATTTTCTCATTCGGGATTGTTGTTTGTGAGGTAAGCTTATACATTTCTCTACTTTTAGTCATAATTTTTTTTAAATATAATTGAACATACAGTATATGTATATTCCTCATGACAGATTATCGGAAGAGTATATGCCGATCCAGATTACCTCCCTCGCACGCAGGATTTTGGACTGAATGTGAATGAATTCTTGGAGCGCTATATGTCCAAAGATTGCCCTGAGGCTTTCTTTCCCATTGCGGTTCTGTGTTGTGCCTTGGAAGCTGAGAAACGGTGATTCTCATTTACAAATCATAACCTTACCACAAACAAAATCTAATTTGCTAAAACGTAGGGTTTTCTCCCTATTTCTTTCTATAGTCCCAGTTTTGCTAAATTAGAGGAGTGGCTGGAGAACCTGCTGATGCACATGGAGATAGGACTTCATCTGATGTCAGAGTTGGATAAAATCCGCCAAGTGTTTTGGGAAAACCACAGCCAGTCAAAACAAACTTATGGGATTCCTTCAAAACAGATGGAGAACTAAGCCTTACACTCTTAAAAATAAAGGTGCTTCACGATGCCATAGAAGAACCTTTTTGTCTAAATGGTTCCATAAAGAACCTTTAACATCTGAAGAACCTTTCTGTTTCACAACACTTTGTGGTGAAAAAAGGTTCTTCAGATTATAAAAAGGTAAGAAAGAGATGGTTCTTTAAAGAACCTTTGACTGAATGGTTCTTTGTGGAACCAAAAATGGTTCTTCTATGGCATCGCTTGAAGAACCTTTTGAAGCACCTTTATTTTTAAGAGTGTAGGCAGAAGCTGAGACTTCATGTGATCTGTGGGCGGTTGCATAAAATGCTTAGACTAGTCTTACAAGCTAGTCTGACTGGTTATATATATATTTATATATTTATATATTAAAGTCTGTTACATTAAAACATAGATTTTCTATTTTCTATTTTGAATAAAAATAAGTCTCATTACCCTGTGCTAACTGCTAGTTGGTCAGACTAGGGGCGAATTCCAAATGGCTTTTTTGTGCCCTTGAAGAGGGCACTTTGGGAAGGGGACGCCATTTGCAGGGACATTCCAAACAAAAGTGAACAAATGAATCCTTTCACGAAATGCTCTTCCAGAAGTCTATTAGCGAAGGGAACATGCGATGGTCACTTCACGGAAGTGATTTCTGTTTGTGATCTTCAGTTAGGAGACCTTGCGATGCATTTCAAAGCAAAGTTGGGGTTGATTTCGACTTCACATACAAATTAAAATTGTCTTTATTTAATGTAATACAAAATATTTTTCGTCAGTGATAGAAATATGATTTAAGACTCTAGTGTAAGGAAGTTTAAGCAAGTATAGTTTGAAAAAGTCTAATAGTAAATAAGACACAATTAGACAATATTTGAATAAAATAATATGAAGAAATATTTATTTGCGACAACTGATGAAGTGCTTAATGTTGCATGCGCACGCAGCATTGTCAGGGTAACATTTGTTGAGTAATTTCCTTCACCAAGGGAGTTCCAAACGCTTATACGAGACAGTAATACCCTACACCCTTCAAAGAACACACTTTCAAGGGCTCTGCCCTTTGAAGGGAGTAGGGCATAGGGATACACACTTCCGTTTGGAATTTGGCCTAATTCTTAAGACGCAATCTTAACACAGAGGCTAAGGTTATGCAACTGGCTCCAGATCATCAAATTCTCAGACAATTACAGTGACCCCACTTAAAAATGTATGAATGTAGATAAATACTTTTCTGAGCCATTTTTGCAGTGACTTGTACTTTTTGTCTTAATTTTTAAGAAAATATCAATTCTTTAATTCATCATCAATAAATGTCATTTGATTTCATGTTTTTGTTATGTAATGCAAAGACATTTTGCACTTTTTGTACAAGTGTCCAAATACATTTTGGGGTCACTGTATATTTAACAAGGTTTCAGTTGTACAGTCTGCTGCAATCACTTTGTACTATTTGTACTGATGGTCTCAGACACAAAGGTGCTAATAGATTGTTCTAGAGAATAGTATTACAAATGTAAGCTAAAAAAAAAATGCTTTACAAAATGTATATTTAGCATAATATTTTTTAGCGGATCTGTTATGTTTAAATTGCTTGTTGCGAAGTACGATTGTAGTCTTATAATTATACATTTATGTATGCCTAATTGTGTTACACGTGTCAGATACTGTGAAATTCAGGAGAAAGCTCCATATGACGAAACTAATAAATGTCATGTTTTCATTTGACATGACGTGACATGTGGCCAAGTATGGTGACCCATACTCGGAATTTACCCATCCAAAGTGCACACACACAGCAGTGAACACACACACACACCGTGAACACACACCCGGAGCAGTGGGCAGCCATTTTTGCTGCGGCGCCCGGGGAGCAGTTGGGGGTTCGGTGCCTTGCTCAAGGGCACCTCAGTCGGGGTATTGAAGGTGGGAGAGAGCGCTGTACATTTACTCCCCCCACCTACAATCCCTGCCGGTACGAGACTCGAACCCACAACCTTTGGGTTATGAGTCCGTCTCTCTGACCATTAGGCCACGACTTCCCAGTTTAACGACTTAGCCCAGTCACCGAAACAGATCCGTCTTAACAAGTAGGAAATAATACTTTTTTCATAGATTTACTATTATTTTACACATTTACCACTGTCTGTTGGATATTTTACAGTTTACAAACTCTTGTGTTTTTTCAACTGTAATTGTAACGATGAATGAGCTGGTTGTCGCTTTACTCATTTGTCTAGGCAAAACTAGCATTTCTCAACAGTTGAGGAGCATAATGGATAAGCACAGTGAGTATTTATTAATATCAATAAACTTTCGCTATGTAATAACGGTTAGTTTCGCTGATTTAACCAGGGCCTTTTCAAAGCTAGGTCATTCCTGGGATTCGGTAACATTTCAACTTGGAATATTTTCTTTTTCAACTACATATGATTCATTTTCTAAATACTTCACATAGGCAAATATCAAACCTCCAATAAATCATATTTTTCCACCTCAGGCTTTAAAGACCTTTTATTATTTTTAGGTAAACTCTTGTGTTTTTTCAACTGTAATTGTAACGATGAATGAGCTGGTTGTCGCTTTATTCATTTGTCTAGGCAAAACTAGCATTTCTCAACAGTTGAGGAGCATAATGGATAAGCACAGTGAGTATTTATTAATATCAATAAACTTTCGCTATGTAATAACGGTTAGTTTCGCTGATTTAACCAGGGCCTTTTCAAAGCTAGGTCATTCCTGGGATTCGGTAACATTTCAACTTGGAATATTTTCTTTTTCAACTACATATGATTCATTTTCTAAATACTTCACATAGGCAAATATCAAACCTCCAATAAATCATATTTTTCCACCTCAGGCTTTAAAGACCTTTTATTATTTTTAGGCACCTTTTATTCTCAACCCGTAACGGACAAAATGGGATTAGTTGAAAATGGATTTTACACAGAACTAACATCTACCTACTGCTCATGTGTCCCTGATAACAATTTTATGATAACAAATGTAACATTCATCATAATTTTCAAATTTTTATAGGACTGAAGTTAAAAATGGACAAATATATGGTCTCTTTATTTTTGTAAAAAATATTTTTAATTTAGATGTTTAACTAAAACCACAATTGTATTGTTTTATTTATTAACATTTCAGATTGTAATCAACAAGAAATGCTTTCATTCTTAATTGTCTTCCCTATTTTTTCCCCAAAAAATATTGATGTGACAACAATATTAATATTAATTATTATTCATTAATTATACAATATTAATGGGACGCTTGATTGCACAGACACTATTGGAAGAGAGCTGAATGACATCACTGAATCATCAATGAATCTGACTTTATCTGGAAAAATGACTCTTATTGTCTTCTCGCATTATTGACAAACTATTTTCCTGTTTCACACTGCTTTGACACAACCAGTATTGTATAAAGCGCTATACAAATAAAGGTGACTTGACTTGACAACGTGTGACAGTGTGGAAGACTGTAACACATCTGACAAAATACACATTGCCTTCAATTTCAATTTTCAGTTTTGTTTCTCTCTCATATTCTCCCCCTCTTTCTGGGTCAACATATCTGCATGCCCAGCACTGTCTTTCTGCTGCGAATGTGGGTTCAGTTTCTGATGTAGGATGCCTGTCAAAGTTTAAGTGTGGACATATTACATCAAATATTCTATTTATAACAAAAATCTGAATTGTTATGATTTTGGTACGTATATATTTACTGAAACCATGACTATTACATATTTTTAATTAAAATTATTAATAAATTATGTAAATAAGCCCTGTCACAAGTTTCCAACCCAGAAACAATGAGAAATATACAAACCCAATTCCAAAAAAGTTGGGACACTGTACAAATTGTGAGTAAAAAAGGAATGGAATAATTTACAAATCTCATAAACTTATATTTTATTCACAATAGAATATAGATAACATATCAAATGGTGAAAGTGAGACATTTTGAAATGTCATGCCAAATATTGGCTCATTTTGGATTTCATGAGAGCTACACATTCCAAAAAAGGTGGGACAGTCGGGGTATTGAAGGTGGGAGAGAGCGCTGTACATTTACTCCCCCCACCTACAATCCCTGCCGGTACGAGACTCGAACCCACAACCTTTGGGTTATGAGTCCGTCTCTCTGACCATTAGGCCACGACTTCCCAGTTTAACGACTTAGCCCAGTCACCGAAACAGATCCGTCTTAACAAGTAGGAAATAATACTTTTTTCATAGATTTACTATTATTTTACACATTTACCACTGTCTGTTGGATATTTTACAGTTTACAAACTCTTGTGTTTTTTCAACTGTAATTGTAACGATGAATGAGCTGGTTGTCGCTTTATTCATTTGTCTAGGCAAAACTAGCATTTCTCAACAGTTGAGGAGCATAATCGATAAGCACAGTGAGTATTTATTAATATCAATAAACTTTCGCTATGTAATAACGGTTAGTTTCGCTGATTTAACCAGGGCCTTTTCAAAGCTAGGTCATTCCTGGGATTCGGTAACATTTCAACTTGGAATATTTTCTTTTTCAACTACATATGATTCATTTTCTAAATACTTCACATAGGCAAATATCAAACCTCCAATAAATCATATTTTTCCACCTCAGGCTTTAAAGACCTTTTATTATTTTTAGGCACCTTTTATTCTCAACCCGTAACGGACAAAATGGGATTAGTTGAAAATGGATTTTACACAGAACTAACATCTACCTACTGCTCATGTGTCCCTGATAACAATTTTATGATAACAAATGTAACATTCATCATAATTTTCAAATTTTTATAGGACTGAAGTTAAAAATGGACAAATATATGGTCTCTTTATTTTTGTAAAAAATATTTTTAATTTAGATGTTTAACTAAAACCACAATTGTATTGTTTTATTTATTAACATTTCAGATTGTAATCAACAAGAAATGCTTTCATTTAATTGTCTTCCCCCTATTTTTTCCCCCAAAAATATTGGTGACAACAATATTAA